TTAATGAAAGAACTTTGTCAAAGTAAATATGAACAAGAAACAACAGAACAAGAAGTTCATTTTCTTGAACAACAAATTATTTATTATAACTCACCAAGTCAATCATTTGAATGTTCACCAATATCACAGGATCCATTAATTAATTCTATACAAGATGCAAATATTCGACAAGAATTATTGCAACAATATAAGAAAATTGCCGAACAATCAAGAGCAAATATGTTTACTCTTTATATGAAAACAGCTAAAGAACAACAAGAAGAATATAAGAAAAAACATGAAACTGATCTAACGAAAATGTGGGATGCTTATCGTTTACCATCTTCTAATAATGAAAAAATATCTCCAAAGATGCTCGATCTTATGAATCAATGTTTTATGAAAATTAGTGAACGTATTAAATGTATCTATAAATTTAAAGCGGACTCTATTGGGTCAAGTTCTAAACCATATAATTTGAAATAAAAATTGTGACATTTTTCTTTAGATTTTATTTCTGTAGATTCGTAGCTATTCTTGTTCTTCATTTTAGATATATATTTACAAATTTATTCACGATTACTATTATATTCAACAATGGATACAAACGATTCGACTACACAAAATAATCATCTATTATTTCCAAATGAACAACAACAACAACAACAACAACAACAAGAAGAGCAAACGAAAAAATGTCGTGGTAATCGAAGAAATCAACGATTTAGAAGAAAATGTCGGGCCCATAAAATGCAACCAAAACAAATAGAAAAATTACTTAAGAAAAGAAATCCTATTCAGAAGAAAATTCAAAAAGATCAGTCTAAAAGATCTACGACAAATAGTAATATAGAATTAACAAGTCGAAAAACTAATCAATCACAACCAATCACAGCAACAACAACTACAACAAATGTTTTTAAACGTAAACGAGATATATCATCGCAACAATTGTCAAAAACTACAAGTTCAATATCCATCGTGCAACCATCATCGAAAAAGATGACTACTGATATCAATGTGAATTCAAATTATCGGTATGTTTTCGAAAACATGTTTAGTATTTAAAATATCTACAACATACTTCATATTACATAGATGTCCTATGTATTTGACACGATCATCATCGATACTTTGCCAAATATTAAATAAAACATTAAATTATACATTAAAGAACAAAGATGAAAAAAAATCTCTTCATATACAACTTGAATTATTAGATCAACAATATTGTTTAGAAAAAGATCAAGAATTATGGCAATCATATTTAGATATTGGTCTACAACAATGTCTATGGCCAGTAAGTTTGTTTCTTTTTAATTTATTTTTACAATATACTTCTTTGTATTTTTGACAACAAAAGGATCAACTATATAAAATGGCAAAAACACATGATTTCAATGAATGTAAAGACTATATAATGAATTATATAGAGAACATCAAAAAACAATTGAATAAATGCCAATTTGAATTGTTAAAATATTCTCAAACATGTCCAATCACAGAATTATCATTTCATATAATTGAACAACGTCTAAAAGAATTAGTGGCTCGTGAACGAAAATATTTATCACAAAGAAACAATGACGAATTGATTAAGTTTAAAGATGATATTCATCAAGCAGAATTATTTAAAAAAATATCCACCAATTTACCTAAAACTGATGGACAAGTAAATCTAAATTAATTTTAATCAATGATATATATTTTATATATATATTTGAATAATTCTTTTCTAGGAAGATTATATAGATCAATTAATGACAATACGAGAAAAACAAGCAGAAATTTGGAAAGAACAATTAATGTTAGAGATACGTATTCATTGTAAGTTCTTACCACAAAATCTCGATCATTTACAAAATTTCATGACACCTATTAGTTACTTACCATTGAATAATGATCAAAAAAGTATCGAAGTAAAAAATAAACATTATAAAATCACACAAGAAGGAAAACGTACATGGCTAAATTATCTTTTAAATACTTATGATATTAAAATAACAGAATACGAACTACAATATCAAAATGCATATATAAAATTAGAATCATATGTATCAAAGAATATGACTACTACTAGTACATCTGTTCTCAATCAAATTCAAGAATATATCAATTGTCGAATATCAAAATTAAAAAATGATATCTATAATAAAATGTCGTCTTTTCGAAAAATAATCCTACAAAATCGTCAACGTTCATCATCAACAAAAGATACTATTGGTGTATGGCCTGAACCCTATCTTGATCTAATTTCGAATCCATTTGATACACGTCAATGGAATTATCTTTCATTAGGTAAGATATTATCTAGAATAGAATAGATTTATTATTATTATTCGTATTATTTTATTGATTTTCAATATATTCTAGGTCCATCTTATATAAGATTAAATCAAAGTGCTATTCGTCCTCAAGTTCAACAACAAGCTGCAATTAAAGATGAACATGAAGATATTTGTAAAAAGGTTAAAAATAATCTTATCAACAAACCTCATTGTATACCACGATCAAACCCATTGTTTACAGAATATTCAAATCATCTTTTAAATTATCTTAATCAATGTTATTCTTCTCCATTACCATATAAAGTTCAATTGCAAACTCTTGAACAAGCACAAATTCTTGGATCAATTCGAAAAATAATTAAAAATATGGATCTTATCGTTCGTGTGACTGATA